TTATTTAGTGATTATTTGACATTCTCTAACGAACAATTTTTTCTTAACATACCAGATATGGATCTTGGAGGCATTGCCCGGAACTCGACCCTATTTTTGTTATTTTCCTTCCCTCCCGAGGGCTATTGGATGGCGCCGAATTAAGATGATGAATTGGGAAGAGTGCTGTGCACTATCCACCATTTCCAAGGTTTGGTTTCATTGATTATAATTTTAACATTTGACAGCTTTTTATTTGGTTAACTATGTTCCAAATTATATACTAATTTATATTTTTATAGAAATCCTCTCGGCCGCTGACCGAGTTGGTGCCGACATATTTGGAGGAGTCGGCCCAATGGTGGATAGACAACATTCAATATATAGAAAGTAATAATTATGGACACCCGGATAATAACGAGGCTGACGCGGACTTTCAATCATCAAGACCACGTCAGTCCTTTGCCGCGCACACAGATGAAAGACCTACGTACGAGCAGCAAACTCGCCATTCATCAGCTGCAAATATGGACACACAATGGCGTGATGAATGGCTCAAACATCAGGCTCAGGTCGATGGGAGGCTCGCTTCAATAGAAGCGATGTTATCTGAATTTGTGCGTGGACAAAATACRGCTAATCCTCCACACCACAGTACTCCGCATGACGTCTACGTAAGAGCATTTATTCTTGTCGATGTTTTAAATTGCACGTTAAAAATTACATAAATAATAAATTTGCACGTTAACAATTATATAAACAATAAATTTATATTGGATGTCGCAGCATCAGCCTTCGATGACGCATGCAGCGACATATATACCGGTTCCTTTTCCATCATGGGCGGCCTACACCCCAATGGATACGGTAAGTTGTGGCTTCATAATATTTTTATTTATGAAGTCAATAATTAAATTAGATAAACTTTTTAATAAATATTATTTTGTGCATACACAGTCTATGTCGCAGCAGCAACCTCCGATGGATGMTGCGGCATCTACACAATGCGACGTTCCATTGGTCGCTAAGAAAGATGATGCCACCGTGCCCGACATGCCTGCGAAGCGATTGACCAAGAAATCGCGGTGGATCTCCTCTCCTTGGACCGCATTTGTAAAGGTAAAAAAGAAGGAGAAGAAGGTCGTTGACGAAGAGGCAGACGTCGCACAGTTGTATGACTCCGGTCGGTTAACCTCGGTTAGGTTAATGACGCTCCAGTATATGGAGGCTGACCGGGAGTTTTGGGGACAACTGTTGGGCAAGCTTGGTTCAGGCTATTTGGGAAACGAAGTATGAGAATTACACAAAKTTGTATAAGTTGAAAAAATCTATTTTTTTCGCATTTAATTATAATTGATTCATTGTTTTGTATTTTTAGCATCTTGACGCGTGGACCATCTATCTTCTCCGATAGAGGCGACCAACAGACCGTTGGAACATCATGCCGCCGTGTTGGATACCAAATTTATCCAACGAACGGTTTGGGCCTAGGTCGCAGAAGATATGGGGCGATGGTAGACAAGAGCCATTTCCGTCATGGCAAGACGTCGACCGGGTCGGTAGAATACGACTTCAATTATTTTCCGTACATAAGATATTTTATTTATCAATTAACATACCGAATGTTCATTGGGTGACCGGGGAACTCGACCTGAGGTCATGGCATTTGACCGTATACGATACTTGTCCGCCGCACATGTTCAAGCAAGCGACCATGACAATCATCCACACGCTGCAGCAGTCCATCCTCGAATTCATAATAGAAATAGAATATTATGTAAGGGTCGTGGACAACATTAACATACCGACTGTTAACATATTTCATTCGGATGACACGCCACGACAGACAGGACCGCTCGGCGATTGTGGGGTTTTCTACTGCATGTTTGTTGAGCAATTGTCGCAAGGACTACAAGTCAATTGTGATACGCCTACCGACGTTCAGGCAATGATGTTTCGTCAACGTATGGCATCGATATTATATTCAACGCGTTTTGCTTAATCCAAATAATAAATTTATTTATTCMTTGTAAATGACATTGTTTGCACTATTTTATGAAATGTTCTTCGATAATAAGAAARCGTAAATGACAATTATCCTACATTCGCCTTGATGAACAACACCATCGCAATCACAAAAAAAGATATCCAATTTTTTTAGTGGGTTTGTAATGGAAAACAATGTTATTTATAGGCAAAACATAAGGGGACTTGTCACATCATCATCATTTCAGTACAATACATTTTAAAAGATCGAACCAGTAACTTTGACCACAATAAGTTTTTTACCCGATAATACTAAATTTTGTCATGCGGATAGAGTTCCTTAATTCTTTCTATTGCTTTTGTCTTTTTTTTCAATGTCCTCTTCATTCCACCCAATGTGTCTTCCAGTCTCCCCGCATGCAAGCTCGAACCATGCCTCGTGGTTCAGGTTTTTCGCCTTTTTGATTTTCTTTCGTGTATCAGCAATCCAGCACTGTTGTTGCTTAATCTGTTGTTTTGCATCAGCAATCCATCTCGTCCGCTCGCTCATCTCATGTTCAATCTTCTCCTTTTTTGAACCAAGGTCCGCACRTTTTTGCTGTAGTATATCCAATTCCAGTTCGTAGTCCTTGATAGCCTCTCTCACATCATCGAGCATTTTTTCAGGTAGTTGACTTCTCCACCATTCTTCTCCAAGACTCTCCCACTCCTCATTCATTGTTGGAATTTTAAAATTAAAACTGGACGAGCTTCCGTCCATTGTTATAAAGAAAACAGGAAAACGTAGCCAGTAATATGTGCTCTAGCAACAACCCATTTTATAGGAACATTTGACACCAACAAAGAAGCTTATATTTTTTTTTCAAAATAAAGTCAAAAATAAATTAAAAATTGGATCGCCCCTGAGGGGGGCGATAGTACAGTGGTAGGGTTATAGGTCAGGCTTTTCCAGGACGAATCTTTTAAGCTTTGTTGACGAATCTTGTAAGCTTTATGTCAGCGACGATTTAACAACTCATAGACGATTTAACAACTCATAAAATGGATCGCCCTGAGGGTATATTCACCAAAATCGAGGCAAAAAGTGGGGGCGATAGTACAGTGGTAAGGTTATAGGTCAGGCTTTCCCAGGACGAATCTTTTAAGCTTTATTGACGAATCTTGTAAGCTTTATGTCAGGGACGATTTAACAAGTCATGCCAGATTACAGTCCGGATTTGACCACACCATGCCAGCTATTAAATCGTAGGCTGTGACAGTGAATTGGTAGGTTCACAGGTCAGGGTGCCAGGAGGAATCTTGTAAACTTTATGTCAGGGACGATTTAACAAGTCATGCAGGTTCATGACCGGATTTGACCACACCATGCCAGGTACTAGACCAACTTATTTAAATTCTAAGTCTCGAAAGTGTATAAAAAGGATTCCTTGTGAAATCATATATCACAACTTCATATCAAATCTGATTCAAGAAAGAAATGGCTGGAAACCCATCATCTTCTCAAACAATGCCTACAAGGATGAAGGCTTCAATTGAAAAGGCCGAAGTCGAGATTAAGAAGATCACCGATGACTGGTGGGCTAACAGGGAGAAACAAAACAAACACGAAGAATCTATTGAAGAGAAGAAAAAAGCAATCAAGCAATTGCAAAAGGAGATTCGAGCTGAGGAAAAAATTGTGAAAGACATCGCGAAGGGGTACCCAGTGATGCAAGAAATGATCAATGAAAAATAGTACTGGATTGAGTCTTGCAAACAACTTTACCCAGAAGGAAACTAACATGAATGCTATGTACTAATGTTTTTGTTGTCGTTGATGTTTTTTTAGTTTAATGTTACGTCGGAATGGTGTTGTTTCAATCTTTTCGTCAATGTATTGATGGTTAATGTTCATGCATTTCTAAATCAAACTTCCATTTCCCATTAAAACAACAAAAGTACACTTAAAAATCGTACATTTACTTACTTA